ACAATTTACTTTGAGTTAACTCACCTGTCTTCGTGTAAACGAAAAAGGTCACATGATCACGGCAAAGTGTTGAAATCGAAAGGTAAATTGGAAAGTATATTCAATAAGGAAACACATCATAAACTTATGACAATTTACTTCTGAGTTAACTCACCTGTCTTCGTGCAAACGAAAAAAGGTAACATGATCACGGCAAAGTTGTTGAAATCGAAAGGTAAAATCGAATTAAATTGGAAAGTATATTCAATAAGGAAACACATCATAAACTTATGACAATTTACTTTGAGTTAACTCCTCTGTCTTCGTGTAAACGAAAAAGGTCACATGATCACGGCAAAGTGTTGAAATCGAGGTAAATTTGAAAGTATATTCAATAAGGAAACACATCATAAACTTATGACAATTTACTTCTGAGTTAACTCACCTCTGTCTTCGTGTAAACGAAAAAGGTCACATGATCACGGCAAAGTGTTGAAATCGAAAGGTAAATTGAAAGTATATTCAATAAGGAAACACATCATAAACTTATGACAATTTACTTTGAGTTAACTCACCTGTCTTCGTGTAAACGAAAAAGGTCACATGATCACGGCAAAGTGTTGAAATCGAAAGGTAAATTGGAAAGTATATTCAATAAGGAAACACATCATAAACTTATGACAATTTACTTGAGTTAACTCCTCTGTCTTCGTGTAAACGAAAAGTTATGATCACGGCAAAGTGTTGAAATCGAAAGTAAATTGGAAAAGTATATTCAATAAGGAAACACATCAAAACTTATGACAATTTACTTCTGAGTTAACTCCCACCTGTCTTCGTGCAAACGAAAAGGTCACATGATCGGCAAAGTGTTGAAATCGAAAGGTAAATTGGAAATATATTCAATAAGGAAACACATCATAAACTTATGACAATTTACTTCTGAGTTAACTCACCTGTCTTCGTGTAAACGAAAAAGGTCACATGATCACGGCAAAGTGTTGAAATCGAAAGGTAAATTGGAAAGTATATTCAATAAGGAAACACATCATAAACTTATGACAATTTACTTCTGAGTTAACTCCCTGTCTTCGTGTAAACGAAAAAGGTCACATGATCACGGCAAAAGTGTTTGAAATCGAAAGGTAAATTGGAAAGTATATTCAATAAGGAAACACATCATAAACTTATGACAATTTACTTCTGAGTTAACTCACCTGTCTTCGTGTAAACGAAAAAGGTCACATGATCACGGCAAAGTGTTGAAATCGAAAGGTAAATTGAAAGTATATTCAATAAGGAAACACATCATAAACTTATGACAATTTACTTCTGAGTTAACTCACCTGTCTTCGTGTAAACGAAAAACGATCAAAAGGTCAGTAAATGGTCACGGCAAAGTTAACTCACCTGTCTTTGAAATCAGAAAGGTAAATTGGAAAGTATATTCAATAAGGAAACACATCATAAACTTATGACAATTTACTTCTGAGTTAACTCCTCTGTCTTCGTGTAAACGAAAAAGGTCACATGATCACGGCAAAGTGTTGAAATCGAAAGGTAAATTGGAAAGTATATTCAATAAGGAAACACATCATAAACTTATGACAATTTACTTTTGAGTTAACGGCTCTGTCTTCGTGTAAACGAAAAGGTCAAATGATCACAGCAAAGTCTTGTAGCCAAAGAAATCACATGAAAGTAAAATTGGAAAGTATATTAAATTGGAAAGGAAACACATCATAAACTCATGACAATTTACTTTGAGTTAACTCACCTGTCTTCGTGTAAACGAAAAAAAGGTCACATGATCACGGCAAATTGTAGAAATCGAAAGTAAATTGGAAAGTATATTCAATAAAGGAAACACATCATAAACTTATGACAATTTACTTCTGAGTTAACTCCTGTCTTCGTGTAAACGAAAAAAGGTCACATGATCACGGCAAAGTGTTGAAATCGAAAGGTAAATTGGAAAGTATATTCAATAAGGAAACACATCATAAACTTATGACAATTTACTTTGAGTTAACTCACCTGTCTTCGTGCAAACGAAAAGGTCATATGATCACGGCAAAGTGTTGAAATGAAAGAAATCGAAAGGTAAATTGACAAACTTATATTCAATAAACGAAAAACACATCATAAAGTTTGAAATCGAAAGGTAAATTTATATTCAATAAAGAAACACAACTGAGTTAACTCCTCTGTCTTCGTGTAAACGAAAAGGTATATTCAATAAGAAACACATCATGATCACGGCAAAGTGTTGAAATCGAAAGGTAAATTGGAAAGTATATTCAATAAGGAAACACATCATAAACTTATGACAATTTACTTCTGAGTTAACTCCTCTGTCTTCGTGAAAAACGAAAAAGGTCACATGATCACGGCAAAGTGTTGAAATCGAAAGTAAATTGGAAAGTATATTCAATAAGGAAACACATCATAAACTTATGACAATTTACTTCTGAGTTAAAGAAATAAACGAAAAGGTCACATGATCACGGCAAAGTGTTGAAATCGAAAAGTAAATTGAAAGTATATTCAAAGGAAACACATCATAAACTTATGACAATTTACTTCTGAGTTAACTCCTCTGTCTTCGTGTAAACGAAAAGGTCACATGATCACGGCAAAGTGTTGAAATCGAAAGGTAAATTGGAAAGTATATTCAATAAGGAAACACATCATAAACTTATGACAATTTACTTCTGAGTTAACTCACCTGTCTTCGTGCAAACGAAAAAGGTCACATGATCACGGCAAAGTGTTGAAATCGAAAGTATATTCAAAAGGGATGAAATATATTCTGAGTTAAGGAAACGAAAACATCATGAAAGCTTATGAAACGAAAGGTAAATTGAAAGTATTGAAAGGAAGTTAACTCACTTCTGAGTTGTCTTCGTATAAACGCAAAAAAAGGTCACATGATCACGGCAAAGTGTTGAAATCGAAAGGTAAATTGGAAAGTATATTCAATAAGGAAACACATCATAAACTTATGACAATTTACTTCTGAGTTAACTCCTCTGTCTTCGTGTAAACGAAAAAGGTCACATGATCACGGCAAAGTGTTGAAATCGAAAGGTAAATGGAAAGTATAAATAAGGAAACACATCATAAACTTATGACAAAGGTTAACTAAATCGTGTAAACGAAAAAGGTCACATGATCACGGCAAAGTGTTGAAATCGAAAGGTAAATTGAAGGTATATTCAATAAGGAAACACATCATAAACTTATGACAATTTACTTTGAGTTAACTCACCTGTCTTCGTGTAAACGAAAAAAGGTCACATGATCACGGCAAAGTGTTGAAATCGAAAGGTAAATTGGAAAGTATATTCAATAAGGAAACACATCATAAACTTATGACAATTTACTTCTGAGTTAACTCACCTGTCTTCGTGTAAACGAAAAGGTCACATGATCACGGCAAAGTGTTGAAATCGAAAGGTAAATTGGAAAGTATATTCAATAAGGAAACACATCATAAACTTATGACAATTTACTTTGAGTTAACTCACCTGTCTTCGTGCAAACGAAAAAGGTTGAAATCGAAAGGTAAATTGTAAAAGATTCAATAACATGACAATTTACTTCTGAGTTAACTCACCTGTCTTCGTGAAAACGAAAAGGTCACATGATACGGCAAATTGTTGAAATCGAAAGTAAATTGGAAAGTATATTCAATAATAAAAACACATCATAAACTTATGACAATTTACTTGAGTTAACTAACCTGTCTTCGTGTAAACGAAAAAGGTCACATGATCACGGCTGAAAAAGTGTTGAAATCGAAAGGTAAATTGAAAGTATATTCAATAAAAACACATCATAAACTTATGACAATTTACTTCTGAGTTAACTCTCTGTCTTCGTAAAAACGAAAAAAAAGGTGAAATGATCACGTAGAAACATCATAAAAGACAAACTTCTGAGTTAAATTCGTGTAAACGAAAAGGTCACATGATCACGGCAAATTGAAATCGACAATAAATTAAATTCAATAATCTTCAATAAGAAAGGAAACACATCATAAATGAAAAGTGTTGAAATGAAAGTAGAAAATTCAAAGGAAACACATCATAAACTTATGCACAATTTACTTCTGAGTTAACTCACCTGTCTTCGTGAAAACAAAAAAGGTCACATGATCACGGCAAAGTGTTGCAAAATCGAAAGGTAAATTAAAAAAGTATATTCAATAAGGAAAACATCATAAACTTATGACAATTTAGTGAATGAAGTTAACTCCTCTGTCTTCGTGTAAACGAAAAAGGTCACTGGAGACTCCTCTGAAAGATAAAAGTGTTGAAATCGAAAGGTAAATTGGAAAGTAAATTCAATAAGGAAACACAAGATAAACTTATGACAATTCTACGAGTTAACTACTCTGTCTATAAATGAAAACGAAAAAGGTCACATGATCACGGCAAAGTGTTGAAATCGAAAGGTAAATTGGAAAGTATATTCAATAAAAAACACATCATAAACTTATGACAATTTACTTCTGAGTTAACTCACCTGTCTTCGTGATAAACGAAAGGATCTATAAATGATCACGGCAAAGTGAAGAAATCGAAGGTAAAATGCAAAGTATGAATGAAAGGAAAGGAATAAACTAAATGAAATTTATGTGAAAACTCCTCTGTCTTAAATGTAAACGAAAAAATCGAAGGTAAAAGCAAAGTGTTGAAATGAAAGGAAATTGGAAAGATATATTCAAAAGGAAAAAATCAAAAAACTGAAATGATAAAAGGGATCTATAAATGATAATACCTGAAGAAACGAAAAAGGTAAAATGCAAAGTAGTTGAAATGAAAGGAAAGAAAGGATATTCAGCTGAAAGGAAACACAAATGAATGACAAAGAATTGAAAGATAAAAGTAATCTAAAAATCATAATGATCCTGAAGAAATCGAAGGTAAATGCAAAGTTGTGAATGAAAGGAAAGGATACGAGCTGAAGAGACGGTAAAAGAAATGAGTTAAGAATTGAGAAAGATAAAAAAGGATCTATAAATGATAATACCTGAAGAAATCAAATGTAAAATGGAAAGTAGTGAATGAAAGGAAAGGAAAGGATAAACTGAAGAGACAGTAAAAAGAAATGCAAAAATGAAAGATAAAAAGGTCTATAAATGATAATACGGGAAGAAATCGAAGGTAAATGCAAAGTATGAATGAAAGGAAGAAAGGATCATAAACTGAAGAGACGGTAAAAAAATGCAAAAATTGAAAGAAGAAAAAAGGATCTATAAATGATAATACCTGAAGAAATCGAAGGTAAAATGCAAAGTAGTGAATGAAAGGAAAGGAAAGGATGATAGCTGAAGTAACGGTAAAATGCAAAAGAAGTGAAAAATAAAAATGGATCTATAAATGAAACCTGATAAAAAAAAAAGGTGAAAAATCTAGTGAAAATGATACGAGCTGAACGACGAAAAAGAAATGCAAAAATTGAAAATAAAATGAAATCTATAAATGAAAATATATTCAATAAGGAAATGAAGGTAAAAATGACAATTTAGTGAATGAAAAGGAAAGGAGAGGATCACAGCAAGCTGAAAAGACGGTAAAAAGAAATTCAAAGAAGTGAAAGATAAAAATGGATCTATAAATGATAATACCTGAAGAAATCGAAGGTAAAAAATGCAAAGTAGTGAATGAAAGGAAAGGAAAGGATACGAGCTGAAGAGACAGTAAAAGAAATGCAAAATTGAAAGATAAAAGGATCTATAAATGATAATACCTGAAGAAATCGAAGGTAAAATGCAAAAGAATGAAAAGTGAAAGGAAAGGATACGAAAGGATACATGAAAAGCAAAATGCAAAGAAGGAAAGATAAGAAATGATCAAAGAATACTTGAAAGAAGGTAAAATGCAAAAGGATAATGAAAGGCAAAGAAATGATAATAAGGTAAAAAGAAATGCAAAAGAATTGAAAGATAAAAAATGGATCTATAAATGCAAAAATCGAAAGTAAAATGAAAGGATGAAAAAGAAGAAGGATACGAGCTGAAGAGACAGTAAAAGAAATGCAAAGAAAAGGTGAAAGATAAAAAGGGATCTATAAATGATAATACCTGAAGAAATCGAAGGTAAAATGCAAAGTAGTGAATGAAAGGAAAGGAAAAGGATACGAGCTGATGAAGAGACGGTAAAAGAAATGCATCAAAAAGAATTGAAAGAAAAAAAGGGATCTATAAATGATAATACCAGTAAAGAAATCGAAGGTAAAAATGCAAAGTAGTGAATGAAAGGAAAGGAAAGGATACGAGCTGAAGAGACGGTAAAAGAAATGCAAAAAAATTGAAAGATAAAAAAGGGATCTATAAATGATAATACCTGAAGAAATCGAAGGTAAAATGCAAAAGTAGTGAATGAAAGGAAAGGAGGACGAGCTGAAAGAGACGGTAAAAAGAAATGCAAAGAAGTGAAAGATAAAAAGGGATCTATAAATGATAATACCTGAAGAAATCGAAGGTAAAATGCAAAGTGAGTGAAATGAAAGGAAAGGATACGAGCTGAAGAGACGGTAAAAGAAATGCAAAGAATTGAAATAAAATGGATCTATAAATGATAATACCTGAAGAAATCGAAGGTAAAATGCAAAAGTAGTGAATGAAAGGAAAGGAACGAGCTGAAGGAGAAGAAAAGGCAAAAATTGAAAGATAAAAAAGGATCTAAAAGAATACCTGTGAAAAGATAAAAAGGGATCTATAAAGGAAAATACCTGAAGAAATCGAAGGTAAAATGCAAAGAAGTGTATAAAAAGGAATAAATGGAATAATACCTGAAGAAGAGACGGTAAAATGCAAAAGAAATGCAAAAGTGAAAGATAAAAAGCTGGATCTATAAATGAAATAATACCTGGAAAAATAAAAAGGATCTAAAAATAATAAAAAGTTAATGAAATGAGGAAAAAGTGATGAAGCTGAAAAAGATAAAAGAAATGCAAAGAAATTGAAAGATAAAATGGATCTATAAATGATAATACCTGAAGAAATCGAAGGTAAAATGCAAAAGTAGTGAATGAAAGGAAAGGATAGGATGAGCTGAAGAGACGGTAAAAGAAATGCAAAAGAATTGAAAGAGAAAAAGGGATCTATAAATGATAATACCCTGAAGAAATCGAAGGTAAAATGCAAAAGTAGTGAATGAAAGGAAAGGAAAGGAAGCTGATACGTAAAAGAAAGCTGAAAGGGATCTATAAATGATAGTAAAAGAAATGCAAAAAGCAAAGTAGTGAATGAAAAAAGAGGATCTATAAAGACAGTAAACCTGCAAAGAAATAAAAGGATTTATAAAATAATACCAAATCGAAGGTAAAATGCAAAGTAGTGAATGAAAGGAAAGGAGGATACGAGCAGAAAGAGACGGTAAAAAAGAAATGCAAAATTGAAAGATAAAAAAGGGATCTATAAATGATAATACCTGAAGAAATCGAAGGTAAAATGCAAGTGAATAGTGAATGAAAAGGTAAAAAGGATACGAGCTGAAGAGACGGTAAAAGAAATGCAAAGAATTGAAAGATAAAAAGGGATCTATAAATGATAATACCTGAAGAAATCGAAGGTAAAATGCAAAGTAGTGAAAAAAAAGGAAAGGATACGAGCTGAAGAGACGGTAAAAGAAATGCAAAGAATTGAAAGATAAAAGGGATCTATAAATGATAATACCTGAAGAAATCGAAGGTATAAAAAAATGCAAAGTAGTGAATGAAAGGAAAAGGAAAGGATACGAGCTGAAGAGACGGTAAAAAAGAAATGCAAAGAATTGAAAGATAAAGGATCTATAAATGATAATACCTGAAGAAAATCGAAGGTAAAATGCAAAGTAGTGAATGAAAGGAGAGGATACGAGCTGAAGAGACGGTAAAAGAAATGCAAAAGAATTGAAAGATAAAAGGGATCTATAAATGATAATACCTGAAAAGAAATCTGAAGGTAAAATGCAAAGTAGTGAATGAAAGGAGAGGATACGAGCTGAAGAGACGGTAAAAGAAATGCAAAAGAATTGAAAGATAAAAAGGGATCTATAAATGATAATACCTGAAGAAATCGAAGGTAAAATGCAAAGTAGTGAATGAAAGGGAGGATACGAGCTGAAGAAGGATACAAAGAAGTGAAAGATAAAGGGATCTATAAATGATAAAGAAAATGCGAAGGTAAAAGAAGTGAAATGAAAAGAAAAAAAGGATACGAGCTATAAATGCAAAAAAGTGAAAGATAAATAATACCTGAAGAAATCGAAGGTAAAATGCAAAGTAGTGAATGAAAGGGAAAGGATACGAGCTGAAGAGACGGTAAAAGAAATGCAAAGAAGTGAAAGATAAAAAAGGGATCTATAAATGATAATACCTGAATAAATCGTAGGTAAATGCAAAAATATGAAAGAAAATCGAGCTGAAAAATAAAAGAAAAAAGAAGTGAATAAAAGGATCTATAAAGGATACGAGCTGAAAGAAAATACAAAAGAAGTGAATGCAAAAGGATACGAGCTGAAAGATAAAAAGGAATGAAGATAAAAAGGGATCTATAAATGATAATACCTGAGAAGAAATCGAAGGTAAAATGCAAAGTAGTGAATGAAAGGAAAGGAGAGGATACGAGCTGAAGAGACGGTAAAAAAGAAATGCAAAAGAATTGAAAGATAAAAGGATCTATAAATGATAATACCTGAAGAAATCGAAGGTAAAATGCAAAGTAGTGAATGAAAGAAAGGAAAGGATACGAGCTGAAGAGACAGTAAAAGAAATGCAAAATTGAAAGATAAAAGGGATCTATAAATGATAATACCTGAAGAAATCGAAGGTAAAATGCAAAGTAGTGAATGAAAGAAAGGAAAGGATACGAGCTGAAGAGACGGTAAAAAGCAAAAATGCAAAGTGAAAGATAAAAAGGGATCTATAAATGATAATACCTGAAGAAATCGAAGGTAAAATGCAAAAAGTGAATGAAAGGAAAGGAAAGGATACGAGCTGAAGTAAAAGACGCAAAGAAGTGAAAGATAAAAAAGGGATCTAAAATGATAATACCTGAAAGAAATGAAAGAGTGAATGAAAAAGGGGATCTATAAATGCAAAGAAGTGAAAGATAAAAAGGGATTTATAAATGATAATACCTGAAGAAATCGAAGGTAAAATGCAAAGTAGTGAATGAAAGGAAAGAAGGATACGAGCTGAAGAGAGTAAAAAAAAAATGCAAAAGTGAAAGATAAAAAAGGGATCTATAAATGATAATACCTGAAGAAATCGAAGGTAAAATGCAAAAGTAGAATGAATGAAAGAAAGGAAAGGATACGAGCTGAAGAGACGGTAAAAGAAATGCAAAGAATTGAAAGATAAAAGGGGATCTATAAATGATAATACCTGAAGAAATCGAAGGTAAAATGCAAAGTAGTGAATGAAAAAAAGGATACGAGCTGAAGAGACGGTAAAAGAAATGCAAAGAATTGAAAGATAAAAAAGGGATCTATAAATGATAATACCTGAAGAAATCGAAGGTAAAATGCAAAAGTAGTGAATGAAAAGGAAAGGAAAGGATACGAGCTGAAGAGACGGTAAAAAAAGAAATGCAAAAAGAAGTGAAAGATAAAAGGGATCTATAAAAATAATACCTGAAGAAATCGAAGGTAAAATGCAAAGTAGTGAATGAAAGGGAGAGGATACGAGCTGAAGAGACGGTAAAAGAAATGCAAAAGAATTGAAAGATAAAAAGGGATCTATAAATGATAATACCTGAAAAAGAAGGTAAAATGCAAAAGTGAATGAAAGGAAAGGAAAGGATACGAGCTGAAGAGACGGTAAAAGAAATGCAAAGAATTGAAAGAAAAAGGATCTATAAATGATAATACCTGAAGAAATCATGAGCTGAAAAATGCAAAGTAGTGAATGAAAGGAAAGGATACGAGCTGAAGAGACGGTAAAAGAAATGCAAAAGAATTGAAAGATAAAAGGGATCTATAAATGATAATACCTGAAGAAATCGAAGGTAAAATGCAAAGTAGTGAATGAAAGGGAAAGGAAAGATACGTAAGCTGAAGCAAGACGGAAAGAAGAAATGCAAAGAATTGAAATACCTGAAGAAAAGGGATCTATAAATGATAATACCTGAAGAAATCGAAGGTAAAATGCAAAGTAGTGAATGAAAGGCAAAAGAATTGAAAGATAAAAGCTGAAGAGAATGATAAAAAGAAATGAAAAAAATTGAAAGTGAAGAAAAAAGGATACGAGCTGAAAATGATAATACCTGAAGAAATTGAAAAGGTAAAATGATAAAGTAGTGAATGTAAAATGAAAGTGGAAAGGATACGAGCTGAAGAGACGGTAAAAGAAATGCAAAAGTATTGAAAGATAAAAAAGGGATCTATAAATGATAATACCTGAAGAAATCGAAGGTAAAATGCAAAAAGTGAATGAAAGGAAAGGAAATGATACGAGCTGAAGAGACAGTAAAAGAAATGCAAAGAAGTGAAAGATAAAAAGGGATCTATAAATGATAATACCTGAAGAAATCGAAGGTAAAATGCAAAGTAGTGAATGAAAGGAGAGGATACGAGCAGAAGTAACGGTAAAAGAAATACAAAGAAGTGAAAGATAAAAAGGGATCTATAAATGATAATACCTGAAGAAATCGAAGGTAAAATAAAAAAAATGAAAAGAAAGGATACGAGTGAAGAACGGAAAGCAAAGAAGGATACGAGCTGATCTATAAAGATAATACCTGAAGAAATCGAAGTAAAATGCAAAAGTGAAAGAAATTGAAAGAGATAACAAAATGCAAAGAAGTGAAAGATAAAAGGATCTATAAATGATAATACCTGAAGAAAGAAGGAAAAATGCAAAAGTAGTAAAAAAGGAAAAAAAGAATACGAGCTGAAGAAAAAGGAAAGGATACGAGCTGAAGAGACAGTAAAAGAAATGCAAAGAAGTGAAAGATAAAAAAGTGATCTATAAATGATAATACCTGGAGAAATCGAAGGTAAAATGCAAAGTAGTTAATGAAAGGAAAGGATACGAGCTGAAGAGACAGTAAAAGAAATGCAAAAAATTGAAAGATAAAAGGGATCTATAAATGATAATACCTGAAGAAATCGAAGGAAAAATGCAAAGTAGTGAATGAAAGGAAAGGATAGGATACGAGCTGAAGAGACGGTAAAAGAAATGCAAAGAATTGAAAGATAAAAAGGGATCTATAAATGATAATACCTGAAGAAATCGAAGGTAAAATGCAAAGTAGTGAATGAAAGGAGAGGATACGAGCTGAAGAGACGGTAAAAGAAATGCAAAGAATTGAAAGATAAAAAGGGATCTATAAATGATAATACCTGAAGAAATCGAAGGTAAAATGCAAAGTAGTGAATGAAAGGAGAGGATACGAGCTGAAGAGACGGTAAAAGAAATGCAAAGAATTGAAAGATAAAAAGGGATCTATAAATGATAATACCTGAAGAAATCGAAGGTAAAATGCAAAGTAGTGAATGAAAGGAAAGGAAAGGATACGAGCTGAAGAGACGGTAAAAGAAATGCAAAGAAGTGAAAGATAATACCTGAAAGGGATCTATAAATGATAATACCTGAAGAAATCGAAAGGAAAAAATGCTGAAAAGTAAGTGAATGAAAGGAAAGTAAAAAGAAATGCAAAGAATTGGATCTATAAATGATAATACCTGAAGAAAGAGACGGTAAAAGCAAATAGTGAAAGAAAGTGAGGAACGAGCTGAAAGGATTTATAAATGAAATGCAAAATTGAAAGAAATCGAAGGTAAAATGCAAAGTAGAAGAATGAAAGGAAAAAAAGGCAAACGAGAATGAAAGAGACGGATAAAGCTGAAGAATGTAAAAAAAATGCAAAATTTAAAAGAAAAAGGATCTATAAATGATAATACCTGAAGAAATCGAAGGTAAAATGCAAAGTAGTGAAAGGAAAGGATACGAGCTGAAGATACGAGCAAGAAAAGCAAGACGAAAGTAAAAAGAAATCTATAAATGATAAACCTGAAAAAGAAGGTAAAATTTATAAATGAAATAATACCTGAAGAGACGGTAAAAGAAATGCAAAGAAAAAGCAAAAAGGGATGAATGATAATACCTGAAGAAATCGAAGGTAAAAAACAAAGTAGCTGAATGAAAGAGACAGTACGAGCTGAAAGAAAAATAAAAGAATTGAAAGATAAAAAAAAAGGATCTATAAATGATAATACCTGAAGAAATCGAAGGTAAAATGCAAAAAAAGTAGTGAATGAAAGGAAGAGGATACGAGCTGAAGAGACGGTAAAAGAAATGCAAAAAGAAGTGAAAGATAAAAAGGATCTATAAATGATAATACCTGAAGAAATCGAAGGTAAAATGCAAAGTAGTGAATGAAAAAAGGAAAGGATACGAGCTGAAGAGACGGTAAAAGAAATGCAAAAGAAGGAAAGACAAAAAGGGATTTATAAATGATAATACCTGAAGAAATCGAAGGAAAAATGCAAAAAAACGAGCTGAAGAGACGGTAAAAGAAATGCAAAGAAGTGAAAGATAGAAAGAGATCTATAAATGATAATACCTGAAGAAATCGAAGGTAAAATGCAAAGTAGTGAATGAAAGGAAAGGAAAGGATACGAGCTGAAGAGACGGTAAAAGAAATGCAAAGAAGTGAAAGATAAAAAGGGATCTATAAATGATAATACCTGAAGAAATCGAAGGTAAAATGCAAAGTAGTGAATGAAAGGAGAGGATACGAGCTGAAGAGACGGTAAAAGAAATGCAAAGAATTGAAAGATAAAAAGGGATCTATAAATGATAATACCTGAAGAAATCGAAGGTAAAATGCAAAGTAGTGAATGAAAGGAAAGGAAAGGATACGAGCTGAAGAGACAGTAAAAGAAATGCAAAGAAGTGAAAGATAAAAAGGGATCTATAAATGATAATACCTGAAGAAATCGAAGGTAAAATGCAAAGTAGTGAATGAAAGGAGAGGATACGAGCTGAAGAGACGGTAAAAGAAATGCAAAAATTGAAAGATAAAAAGGGATCTATAAATGATAATACCTGAAGAAATCGAAGGTAAAATGCAAAGTAGTGAATGAAAGGAAAGAAAGGATACGAGCTGAAGAGACGGTAAAAGAAATGCAAAGAATTGAAAGATAAAAAGGGATCTATAAATGATAATACCTGAAGAAAAAGGAAAATGCAAAGTAGTGAATGTAAATGAAAGGAAGTATACGAGCTGAAGAGACGGTAAAAAGAAATGCAAAGAAGTGAAAGATAAAAAGGGATCTATAAATGATAATACCTGAAGAAATGAAGGTAAAATGCAAAGTAGTGAATGAAAGGAGAGAGATAATACGAGCTGAAGTAAGACGGTAAAAGAAATGCAAAAGAATTGAAAGATAAAAAGGATCTATAAATGATAATACCTGAAGAAATCGAAGGTAAAATGCAAAGTAGTGAATGAAAGGAAAGGAAAGGATACGAGCTGAAGAGACAGTAAAAGAAATGAAAGGAAAAATAAAAAAGGATCTATAAATGATAATACCTGAAGAAATCGAAGGTAAAATGCAAAAGGAAAGTAGTGATTGAAAGATACGAAAGGAAAGCTGAAGAGACGGTAAAAGAACTGCAAGGAAATGAAAGATAAAAAGGGATCTATAAATGATAATACCTGAAGAAATCGAAGGTAAAATGCAAAGTAGTGAATGAAAGGAAAGGCAAGGATACGAGCTGAATGGACGGTAAAAGAAATGCAAAGAAGTGAAAGACAGAAAGGGATTTATAAATGATAATACCTGAAGAAATCGAAGGAAAAATGCAAATTAGTGAATGAAAGGAAAGGAAAGTATACGAGCTGAAGAGACGGTAAAAGAAATGCAAAGAAGTGAAAGATAAAAAGTGATCTATAAATGATAATACCTGAAGAAATCGAAGGTAAAATGCAAAGTAGTGAATGAAAGGAGAGGATACGAGCTGAAGAGACGGTAAAAGAAATGCAAAGAATTGAAAGATAAAAAGGGATCTATAAATGATAATACCTGAAGAAATCGAAGGTAAAATGCAAAGTAGTGAATGAAAGGAGAGGATACGAGCTGAAGAGACGGTACAAGAAAAGCAAAGTATTGAAAGATAAAAAGGGATCTATAAATGATTATACCTGAAGAAATCGAAGGTAAAATGCAAAGTAGTGAATGAAAGGAAAGGTACGAGCTGAAGAGACAGTAAAAGAAATGCAAAGAAGTGAAAGATAAAAAGGGATCTATAAATGATAATACCTGAATAAATCGAAGGTAAAATGCAAAGTAGTGAATGAAAGGAGAGGATACGAGCTGAAGAGACGGTACAAGAAATGCAAAGTATTGAAAGATAAAAAGGGATCTATAAATGATAATACCTGAAGAAATCGAAGGTAAAATGCAAAGAAGTGAATGAAAGGAAAGGAAAGGATACGAGCTGAAGAGACAGTAAAAGAAATGCAAAGAAGTGAAAGATAGAAAGGGATCTATAAATGATAATACCTGAAGAAATCGAAGGTAAAATGCAAAGTAGTGAATGAAAGGAGAGGATACGAGCTGAAGAGACGGTAAAAGAAATGCAAAGAATTGAAAGATAAAAAGGGATCTATAAATGATAATACCTGAAGAAATCGAAGGTAAAATGCAAAGTAGTGAATGAAAGGAGAGGATACGAGCTGAAGAGACGGTACAAGAAATGCAAAGATGTGAAAGATAAAAAGGGATCTATAAATGATAATACCTGAAGAAATCGAAGGTAAAATGCAAAGTAGTGAATGAAAGGAAAGGAAAGGATACGAGCTGAAGAGACAGTAAAAGAAATGCAAAGAAGTGAAAGATAAAAAGGGATCTATAAATGATAATACCTGAATAAATCGAAGGTAAAATGCAAAGTCGTGAATGAAAGAAAAGGAAAGGATACGAGCTGAAGTAACGGTATAAGAAATGCAAAGAAGTGAATAATAGAAAAGGATCCATCTAGATAATATCTGCAGATTGGGATGGAAAATGTAAAGAATTGAACGATATAATAGAAGCGAAAATTATGTACCTGAATAGATCGAAGGAGAACTTCAAAGAAGTGATTTATGCAAAAGTGGCGTATAAAGGATGCAAGGTAAAAATGTGAAATGCTTTGAGGTGATCGAAAGAAATAAATGAGAATGAACAATGTGATTGATATTGAAATAAAATCGATATGGAGCGGAATAGGGAGGGGAAAAGATTGATAGAGAAAGAACAAAAGATGATATGGGAGAAAAACAGAAATGCAGTAATGTGACCAACAGAAAATAGAAATAATTTATACAGAAGAACTGAAACGAAAAAAAGATATACAAAAAATGTTAGTAAAAGAGGGATATATGAAGAAAGAGAGAGAGAGGGACAGAGAGAAAGAATGAAAAAAAAGCGCAAAATGTATGAGAGAGTAAAAGAGAAATGCAAAAGATAGAAACATAGAGAATAGAGAGGGTTTATTAGAGCTACCTGAGATATACGAAGACGAAAATCATAGAAAATGCGAGAAAGAGATCAAAGAGAGAAAAAAAGGAAAAAGAGAAAGACCAGACTAAAGAGAATGATAGGCAGATAAGGAGAGGAAATGAAAAGATAGACACAACAAAAGAACGGATAAGAATAGCCAATAAGAATCTAGAAGAGAAGAAAAATGGATGAGACAAAGATGGATGATACAAAGAAGGTGAAAACGAGATTGACAATCAGATGATGGAAAGCAGACGTCGATAGAAATAGCGCAAATAAAGAAAAGAAGAACACGTTTAAAAAAAAACGAAAAAGTACGTGTAAAGAAGGAAAGGGAATGAGTTTATGTGGAGAGAAAGAATGAAACAAAGAGGAAGTATAATCAAACAATGGAGCAGACAGGAAGTCAGACACGAGGAACAGCAACGAATAATTGATAGTCAAGATGACCATGAATAAAAGTGAGAAAAAACAGAAGAAACAGACTATGGGTTTGAGACTATGATGAAATCGTGAGACAGAAGTCACCAGTGTCGATGACTTCAGGACTTTCTTAGACAACATTAATAACTAACATTTTTTTCGGAAGGAAAAATAGATACTCGCCGACGGCATTTTGCGCATGCGTCTCGCACGCGCGACAAAGCATAGCTAGCCAGAAGAGAAAAACCTTGAAACGTGTAACCGATTCATAGGAACTATATATCTTTTCCTTATTCTCACATCATAAATCTATAACAGTTTTTTTTCTTTCTTTTCTCTTCTCTCTCTCTCTCTCTCTCTCTATATATATATATATATATATATATATATATATATATATATATATATATATATATATATATATATATTTGTGTATTTAGGCAGCAATCCTTCTTTCATGCACATTTCATTGAATACAACAAACAAGGTGCTTTTATTTAGTTTTTTATACAATTTCTCATGCGATCTAATAATTTTTTTTTTCTTTTCGGATGATAAATTATATAAAAACCGTCCGAATGCTCTTTTTATCTAAGCGCTTTCGGCTATACAATTAGCCATTTTCAAGAATTAAATATTATAATTGTTAAATAAGAAATAGTTTGTTGTATGTATGTTTTCTAAAATGTTTTCATTTTTCAAGACACGGTCAAGATATTGTGTCAATGTTTAAATTTAATGTTATTAATTGTTGGTTTTTATTATTAGTTCGCATGAGAAATTGTATAAAAAACTAAATAAAAAAGCATAATGTATATATATATATATATATATATATATATATATATATATATATATATATATATATATATAAATTATTTTCAGATAGAGTGTATCCCTAAAAAAGAAAACAAGATGAATAAAAAGACAAGAGAAAAAACTATTCTTAGACGAGGCGTTTCGTCCACTGAGGGACTCTATCATTTATCATAGTCATTTAATATATATTTATTCTTGAATATTACTTGAATATTACTCAACACATTGAAATATGACATTTTGTGCTGTCAGTATGTTTTGATTGTTCTTTGAACCTCCTAATGAACATTCATAAAGGTTCTCAAATCTTAAAGCCTTGATAAACCAATGACATCCATGCTTTTCTATCTAAAGACGTGAAAATAAATTAAATCCTACGTTGCTTTGATAAGGACGTCACCCATAGTCTAAGGATAGTTTTTCCTCTTTTTATTCTGTTCGAGAAATTTTCATAGAAAATATGCGTCCTCTGAAAATTTCTCGGATATTCAGGCCGTCATTGGTTACATTTGGATACGCATCGAGCAGTATGAGAGAAAATCATGGATAATTGTAGTTTAAAAACAGTAAAATCGACATTGCTAAACGAAACGCTCCTCTGTGGCTAAATCGGTAAAGCACATCAGGCTATATGGCGGTTCTTTATAGGATACAGGTTCTATTCCTGTCGGAGGACGAATATTTTCTATGAAAATTTCTCGGACATTCAGTCTATTTAAAAAAAAGAATGTATAAAAATAAAAATATGTTTTAATATATATATATATATATATATATGTCTGATTGTTATCAAACTCCTCTTAGACTTTTGGAGATATCCTCTATAGCCATATATATTCCGAAACTATATTACCCAAGGTCCTTGTATACGTATTTTAATCAAAGGGTCTCCGTTGGAGGAGTGGCCACACAACCGCCACTTAATTTTTTCCCTTTGACATAATTTAAAATTAAATTTGAATACGGGAATGACCTCTAGGCTACTTGGATAAGTATATTTCATTTTGATCACATGGGGTCCCCGGGAAGCAACCCCTACTGATTTTTCTCTTTGCTTTAAATTAAATTTAAATTATTTGAACTCGTGAATGACTCCTATACAAAAAATAGAAAGAGAATGCCAGAAGATGAAGGCCATCATTTTTCTCAACAATTCATAACAATGATTTACAATCAAACATCGTTTTCTTACAAAAAAGTGTGTGACACGCAGCAAAGTGAGGGTAATTGGGCTAGTATATATGTAAATGTCAAACCGTTTCATGAAAACTAGATTTGATTACGCGTTTCGTATTTCTAGGCTTCAGGAGATCCAAACACACACGCATATATATATATATATATATATATATATATATATATATATATATGGGTGGGTTTGTGTGTGTGCCCGCGCGCGTTTGTAGAATGTACAGTATCCCAAAAAAGTAAAGATGTTGGAATATAAAGGGATTTTTTTTAATTAAAGACGCGTTTCGCCTCAAAAAGTAATTTACGACAGCCAACTTATCCACAGAGATCCCAAGTATTCCTACTTTTGTCTTTCTTTTGTTCAAACGGGTGACGCCGAAGAGTACGTTTCTTTATGTACGGCATTGGTTATTGCACTGAAGCCAAGGTTAGCCTACCGAAAAACATCAGTCAAAATTTAACGTTCCTTTTTTGGAATTGTAACATAAGTCGAACCCCAATTTTAAGATTTTGTAGATTTAAGTTCGTCATACGATATATATATATATATATATATATATATATATATATATATATATATATATATATATATATTGTAGAAAAATGCCATCGACCTTGAGGTAATAGGTGGAAAAAAAAGCAAGCGTTGATTAAGGTTAGTGGCGGTGGTTACCGAATAAATCCTGAGTTGTGAAACAGCGCCGGTTTTCTGTGCGTGTTTTCTCGGTCCCTGCCTCTCCTAAGGCCCCGATTAGCAATATCGTCCTGGGCGTTTTTACTCAGGTCTCCGCTTGACAATTCTATTAATTAAATTGGTGGAGTAATTGTTAGAAGAACTGAACCAACCGAGTGAATATTCTCCAATTGGAAAGAAAAGAGCAGTTAAAGTTCTGGTGTAGAAAATCAACGATGCAAGATGGCTGGTCTCGCTAACGAAGAGTAGATCACTTCATTCAAATATCCATGTTACTCAAAGAAGAAAGGATGTAGGAAACCGTTTATATAAATATAAATACCAAAGGATAAATAAGTCATGTCAAGGGTGACAAAGGTAAATGAGCGTGTTTCTTGACTGGGCAATTCCTACGAAGAACTACAGCAATAATTCCTCAGAGGAAAATTTCGTATTATGTGGACGTGAACCTGAACCATTTAGTAGATAATGACTCATTCCTCATCGTCCTGAAAGTCTCTGAATACCCCTGCTGAATGAAGAAGTCAAGTCATATATAACGAGAGTTGGACCTGCGCCCATCTCTTTCCGGTAAAATATGGCATAAATTCTGGTCAATTTTGAATACTTTGAATTAGCCCGCCATCACTATGACCCTCCCCCAACCGACGTCCCCCATGGGAGTAGTGGGCCCACCCTCAAATATTTTTTCAACAATATATATATATATATAAAGAGAGAGAGAGAGAGAGAGAAATAGATAGATACATAGATATTAGGTTGGTGCAAAAATAATGACGTAAAAATGTCGTTTGTGACGTATTTTTTAACGTCAAAAAACGACATTATTACGTCATTATTTTTGCACCAACCTAATAGATAGATATTAGATATTTCATGTTATTTTAATGTCATGTTGCTTTTGTTATGTTCAGTTATAAGTTTAGTTTGTTTTACGACATATCAAACAATGGGCTATTTAATGCCGACAAAATTTTTATTGCTGGTATTTCTTTTTTAAAAAATGTATTGCTGATAAGATTTTTTTTTCAAAATTGTATTGCTGGTAATAATTTTTGTTCAAAAATTTATTGCAGGTAATAATTTTTACGAAGTATTCTGGTATTAAAACCTATTTTACATTTTCATAGTTTTGACCCCTATTTGAGGGTTAACTATTTACCCATAGTTGGGGCCCTAACAGGTGCTACCACCCCGGGTCAGGGTGGACCTGGAAACACCATCAATTAACAGGTGGCTGCACGCTCCTCAAAACCTCCTGATCAGAGGCCTTGATAAGACACCAGAAGTGTTGAAAGAAAATGATTTTTTTGTAGTGATTTGATAACATATTTATGTTATAATTTTCGAATAAATAATTTTATTTCCTCTACTCTGTATTGAGCACTCATTTAAGAATAGTATTTTTTGGTAATTGGAGTTTATTCTTATATACACCAATCCTATACTTGGATATATATATATATATATATATATATATATATATATATATATATATATATATATATTATGTTAAATTTTTTTTCCTATAAACTGAGGTGAGAAAAACCTCATCGCTGGATGAATACCATTAAGAAAAAGTGGAGAAACTGATCCGCCTGAACTACATTATTAAATAAACAAAAAGTATCGCAAACATATCGACAATACAGTTGAGGACGAAGTACATTACTACATATTCTCTCCTTGTGAAAGCCAACAAAAATATTGGCAAGTGCCGAACCCAAAGGGGAGCCCATAGCAACACCGTCAATCTATCGATAACTAATATTATTAAAACTGAATTCGACGGACGACGTGCAAAATTTCATCAAATCCACAAATACAGACTCAGGAATACTAGGTGGAAAAAATAACTGCGATGAAGCAAATTGGAGCAAATATTAATTGTTTCCAAAAGAAGGACACAAGTGAATAAAGAACAGACATCAAAGGAACACATGAAGAAGACAAATTTCGGATGCGGGCAACGAAGGAAAAATAATCCTTATACAAAAATCCACTTGAGCGCTGCAACACTGGTTTATATATATATATATATATATATATATATATATATATATATATATATATATATATATATCACTATGATTAGTAAGGATAATTCCAAGGAGGATATAAATCCAAAGAGTGTTCAATGTAAGAACAGAGTAATAATGAATACACAGTCCTTTCAAATCCATTCGGTCAGGTGATAATTTATTTCATTGACTCAGACGTTCATCTCTTCAGACCAAATTTTACAAATGTTCAAATTATTCAGACACAAGGAAAAGAAAAAAGAAAATAAGAAAGAGAGAGAAAAGAGAAAAAGGAAAAAGGTTTTAATATTAAAAGGGCAAAGAGAAAAAGAGGGAGAGAAAGACAAAGATTTGAATAAAAGTTTTTAGCGGGAAAAGAAAGAGAAAAACTTCATAGAGAAATTGAAACAGATCATAAACCCACACACACACGCTACATAACATAAACACATAATGGCCGAATACACTAGTAGCATCACACAGACGCACACACATCTATAGAGAACGAATATATGTATATATATATATATACACACACTGGCAAAATCAAACACAATAGACTAACCACAAGCAAAACAAGAAAGTTACACAAAATAGCACAACATAAAAGTGTATATATATATATATATATATATATATATATATATATATATATATATATATATATATATATATACTAACTCTTATAATAAAACAATATATGTGTATCGAGAAGGAAAGTGTATACAGATATTATCTAAAAACACACGCACACACAAAATACACAAAAATGGAGGTAGGTTTAAAACGATACAGGGGTTATAAAAAGATAAGAACAAAGACCTCCTTTCTTCGCCCTTCTGACCAATTCAAATTGTTTTATTACCCCTTAAGCAGAAGAATATTTTCTCCACAAGTCCAAGAAAAATTTGTTTTACTACTACACACAAAAGACAATGGATAAACATCGAAAAAAATATGGAAAATTAATTCCTTTAATAATATGTGGAAATAACCCCTATTTGCCTGATGAAGGTCGCAAGACCGGAAACCCGTGTAGTAAAAATATGGAAAATAAAGTATAATATATATTTTTTTTAAATTCAATAACCAAAAACGATTGCGGCTTCTCTCTCCTCTTAAAGTATACACTTTTCTCTCGTTGGAACAACTATAACCTCTCCGAGATAGATAGATAGATAGATAGATAGATAGATAGATAGATAGATAGATAGATATACTTTTCTCTCGTTGGAACAATTATAACCTGTCCTTATATATATATATATATATATATATATATATATATATAGAGAGAGAGAGAGAGAGAGAGAGAGAGATAGATAGATAGATAAAATATAAAATCCTTAAAAATACATTCGGCCATTCTATCAAGTTGTAAAAATAGGTTTTAATACCAGCAATACATTTTTTGTAAAAAAAATATTACCAGCAATTAATTTTGATGAAAATTACCAGCAATACAGTTTTGAGAAATATTGCCATTTATAAAAAAACTTGTCGGTATTAAATAACTTATTGAGTCTGATATGTCGTAAAACAAAAGAAAACCAACATCTCAATGATCAAGCGTGGATTTATGACAACCTACAGAGTCAACATTAAAAATATACTGGGATAAAAAGATAGTTATAAAAACTATGATTTATTACCCCATGTTGAATCCTGGTGGAACCGTTGCCATCAAGTGTTACAATTACCACCTTCATAATTTGACCGCAGCAGTTATCCAATTTATACCCCAGCGTAGAGCCAGTTATTAATGATAAAAATCAAAATAAATATCTAATATTATAATTAGAACTGAAAATTAATTATAGGCTTAAATTTAATTAATCCACCCCCAAAATAAAAAGGATTTATATTTACTAAAATTCAAACCAAATTTTCCCAGGACGAGGCCCTTCCATTGCACTCCGGTTGGTTTGACATTTGCGATCGTCCCAAATGTGGGCGACTCGAGTGAGCTAAAAATGTGCGGTCTCCATTCGCGTTCACACAAATAAACAAGCCGAAGACAATTTTTTTTTTAAATTGTAAAAATTCATTGTACCCTGTTCATTGTATCATGTGAATAATTCCCTGATTTTTGGTATTTTTTTTTTTTATTCTGAGATTGGAAGTTGTTTGGGAGACAAGCCAAACAAACTTTGATTTAGAAGTTATAATTTCTAAAAAGTGTCAAAAATTTAATAAAAAAAACCCAACTTTGATTTAAAATATATAATTTCTTGGTGGGGAAATTAATATTTGCAATAAATAACTTTACATTATTTAGGGGGCATTAACAGAAACGACTCCCAGTTTGTCTGGCTAGATCAATTATGACGGAATTATTTCGGCCCTCACTGGGTGCCCTAAAATTCCGGCGTTGTGCAAACTTAGAAAATCAACATGCCTATAGCCCCATAATTAACCGCCGTCACAAATAGCTGAAGAAACAGAAACACTCGAGTTGCTGTCTTTTCTCAAATGGTTTTCGATATTTTGCTAATATTAACGTAATCATTAAAAAGCGCGTCAAAAAACAGGAGATACACAATGAGGGTTGAATGTCTTAACAATCCTCTTTGTTGCTATATATCCCTTTACAGTACTCTCACACTTGTGCTGAAAAAATACTTTCCATCTTTTTATCCATTTTTAATACGATATTTTTTTTTTCGTCACTGCTAGATTTGCGCAAAATTTGAAACAAGAAAAGAAAGAAAAAATTCTATAGCCAATGTAGTTTTTGAAAAAAGAGCACAGGGAATATTTTTTTCTTTGTCACAAATCTAATATATTGCTTCATTCCGACAAACATTTTCGTTTCTTTTTATCATAACCTTTCATGGGGTACGGCAGTCAAAGTGATGTGATTAAGAACGAAGAATTTAGTGTGAATGAACCATATAAAAACCCTTTTTTTTATTGTGACTGTTTTAAAATAGAATATCGTTATGTCTGGAAGTTCTGAGAGATGTTTTTCCTATTTCGTTTTTTTTGTGTCTGTTTTTTGCTTTTTTGTTTTTTTTGTTTTTTTTTTTTGTTTTATGTTTGTTTTTTTGTTTTGTTTTGTTTTGTTTTTTTTACTGTATAGAATTACGAAGAACGCACAGGCAAATTTTCTCCTCTGCCTAGTCAGTCATTTTGGTCGACCGGAAACACTTAACGTTGCCACAACACCGTAATCAATCATGGCGTTATTATCCCCACTCAAGACGCATGGCTGGTCGATTATTGGGAAAAGCAAGGGGATAATCTCGATTTCAACTTAACTTATTCCCCACTGACAAATAACTGACCTCCCTTCTCAGCCGCACCGACTCTTCTCCAAAGAAAGGAAGAAAGAAAGAAAACGTTTCTTTCAAAGATACAAAGAAGTAAAGGTTTTATTTTAGCATTATCATCAAGATGCAGTCTTCCTTTACAGTCGAATTCGGAACGTAAAGGACGCAATTTAGCTGTCTGATTCGGGGATATCACTAAAATAGTTGAACCTTCATTTGAAATGAGTGAAATTAACGTTTCGTAGTTGCTAATCACCCGTCGAGGTTTCATGAGGGGGGGGGCTACAGGTCTAGGAACCGAACTACGGTGTTGATTTTTGAAAATGATTTATCTGTTATTGTTGTGGATTCCGGGTTGGATTCAGGTACCAATAAATAACAAACGTCAGGAATGAATATATGAAAATAATGTATTAACGTAATAATACAAACTGGTAAAGCAGGTTAGTAGTTCCAGGAATGCGGGTTAGTAGCAAAATATATATACAGTCTTTGGTATTGAAGTATCGCTGTATGACTTCTTACTGAGTCTACGTGCTCGCTCACTGTGACTTCTACAACGCTGTTACCTCACCCCTCACTCTTCCGGTTACCTACAACCTTTTACTCTGTCACTCTGGACTCGACTCGACCCTTCGGTCTTTCTCTCTCGGGTCTTTCCGTAGCTGTAGCATATGTATATACTGGGTGAGTCCATTTGTGTAAAAAGTGGTGGACCCCTCAACAATTATGAAGCAGGTATCATTTGATTTCTTTTCTTCTGAGTTGCAATCTGACCCCACAATAGTCAACTTCAGCTTTGTTTCATGCAGCAATGATGGCCTCCATCGCAAATATCACTCACTCACTCACTCACTCACCTTCTATCTATCTATCTATACAGGGTTTAACAAAAATATTTTTAAAACAAGAACAAAAGAAAACGCAATTCGATACAGCCGTGCAGCCTCGCATCCATTACCATTCACGCTACCCGATGTAAAAATCTTATCTGCCTGCTAACGATATGAATATACTCGCCATTGTTAAACGGAACACTCCTCAATTAACTCACTACTACATACGTTAAACGTTGAAGAGAGACTAGCCATAATGTACACGAATGACAAATGTAACATAGTCCTCAAAGCAACAGGGCGCCAACTACCGTAAACTTTCTTGATAAACTTGCAGATATATGTTTATATGGAGTTTGTCATTGTTTTGGTGTGAGAAATTCGTCCCCAAAGTTTGCAAGAATCCCTCCGTCCACTCGTCAGGGGTTTCAGCAAATGACGACTTCTAGTTTTGTATATAAAACTGTAACCTTATTACAGTTTGTTATACGAAATTATATTATGAATTTACAGGGTCCAATGGGTAAATTATCAACATTTTATATTATTAATTTCGCGCAAGCGCGCTTTTTTTTATTTTGTCTTCTGCACAGTATAGTCGGGTCTGTGACAAAAAGAACACCATAACGCAATTCACTCCGCCTGAAATTTGAAAACGGCTTTCTATACTGTTTGGCATTCGCACTGGAAGTTCCAATAAAATAAAGCTAGACAAATGCAATCATGTTTCTATTAGGTTGTCCCAAAAGTTCGTAAACACTTGCGAAAAATTGAATTTTTATGCAACACAATCCAGCACAATCGAGACAAGCGACGGGTTCAGAAAGGGCAAGAGACACCGTCGGTTCCAAAACAAGATCGATTCGGCAAGAAAGTCATGTTGTGCGTTTGGTGGAACTTTGAAGGAATCGTGCATTTTGAGTTGGTTCCGAATGGTCGTGCCATCAGTGCCGAACTTTACTGTCAGCAACTGGAGCGGGTCTACGCAAAGTTGAAGCAAAAGTACCCGGCTCTGATCAACCGAAAGCGCGCTTTGATGCAGCAGGACAATGCCAAGCCACACACCGCCAGGAAGACCAAAGACAAGTTTGAAGAGCTGGACAGCGTTGAGGTTCTGCCACATCCAGCCTACAGTCCTGACTGTGCTCCATCAGATTACGGCCTTTTTCGCTCAATGCAACACTTTCTGATGGGCCGCCGATTCGACTCGTTTGATGAAGTCGAGGAAGCGTGTCAAGAAATCTTTGATTCGAACCTGGCTGAATGGTACTTTCACCAGATCCGAAAGCTGGCAGATCCATGGCAGAAAGTCCTGGGAGATGATGGTCTTTATTTTGAGGAATAATTTTTGTTGTTTTTGTTATTACTTGGCGAGTAAAATTTCAATTTTTTTGCAAGTGTTTACGAACTTTTGGGACAACCTAATATGTGTCTCAACACATGTCATAAAGCGTTAGTTATTGATGAGATGTGTTGATACACATCGAAATATGATTGGAAATGGAACTAATGTCGTTAATTTAATTACAAAATTAAATTCGAAGCTTTTAACTTTCATTTTTGAAACATGGTTAGAACTGTATAACGAAAAAACCATATTTTAAATCAATGAATTTATAATATTAATGCTCTGTAAATTTACATTGAGCACTATTTTGTAAAAATAAAAATATCTATAAGAACACCGGATTATATATCTTACTGTTCTTTTTCTTTTTCTCTCTCTCTCTCTCTCTATATATATATATATATATATATATATATATATATATATATATATATAATATATTCCATGCCTTAAGCAAGCCGGGGTTCTACTAGTACGGAGGGGTTGCAGAGAGTGAATGTGAGAGAAAAGATTGGGCATAGTGGGATCGAGGAAAGTATAAAAGATGAATGGGGTCCAAGACGACAGAAGATTCCGATTGGCATTGCAGTTAAATTTTTGAAGATTGTCGTTATCAGTGAAGCAAGTAAGCGGAAGGGAGTTCCACAGGCGGGAAGTGCGAGAAATACTGTTAGAGTAGAAGTGGCGGTTAATTTAAGTATTTTAACAGGAAAATGTAGGAACCGAGTTGCCAATCTCGTAACTCGCTTAAATTCATATAGTCGGAAAAAGCTCTTCAAAGGTATTGCCCTGAAAATATTTGAAAAAAGAAAGAAGAAAACCGCGTCACGTCTGTGAGAAAGTGACTGAAGACGAGATGCCAAGTAAGAATTGATTACATTGCAGATCCTTCTTTGGATTTTGTCAAGGACACATGGCACAGTGGATAAAGGCGTTAGTTAGATCCAGTGATAGAACCCAAAGAGTGTGAGTTCAATACCCAGTTAAGGCAGTGGAGAACTTGGAGAGGGTAATTAACAGGAGATAACTGACATCTATTAGACATGACACGTGTGATTAGAACAGCTTACCCCAACGAGCGGAATAAATGTTTCGACATTCCAACCACCTGAAGAAGGCCGGAGCGTACAACGGCCGAAACGTTGTGATAGATATGACAATAAAGATGAGGATAATAGTCCGAGTAATGTAAATAGAGTAGATATAACTTTTAGGGAAATGAGACAAAAATGTAAATAGATAAAAATAAGTTGTTAATGTATTCAGAGAATTTAGCAAAATACTTATATGAGATTCTTTAAATAATTAATTCTGCTTAACTAAAGACGCTTAGAAAAAAATGAATAATTCAAAAAGGAACTTGGTCTTTTGAAGACATGAAATATGTGAAAAATATTGAAATTTTACAATGTTCCCCCGCATTCCCATAGATGAAACATGACAAGCATCTCGCTTTCCGTGGAGATGGTTTCACTCACTTAAGTTCTGACTTTCAAAGCTAAGACCAACCACATCACGTGAACTAGTACAAAAATTCCTCATTCCTTTTGTATATCATTTCTGTGCAGTCATCATCTTGCTGCTTCACTCCTGAGAGGGTGCTTCCTCGTTAAAATCTTAACGTCTTTAAGAATAAGATCAACCGTTTATAATTTTCAGTGTATCACTATAATCTGCACTTTTTACGTTATTCTGCTCAGACAACGTCATTCAGTAATCGATCTGCAGTGGGTCTTGGGATTTTAATTGGGTTAACTCTTTTGTTTCAGTGATGTTCACCTAGTAGAAGGCCCGAGAGACACTCGTGCTAAAGAGAAAGTCCCAGATTGTTTGGATATGTAGGGAAGATCATGGTTAACAGTAGACTTGAACAGTTTAAGGTTGCATTGATCGGGGAAACATCTTCTGCCTCATCAGACCTAAAATCGAAAGAGACACGATCCCCTAAGTGTGTATTACGTGTGACACTTAACTGAATAGTGTTCACATTTTGTCCATGATTCATAGTTATTTTATACATTCACTTTGTTATAAACGTATTCTGCTAGTTGAATCATTAAAAGTAAAAACTTTGAAAACAACGAAATAAAGAAATAAAAAGCAATGTAATAGTCGCTTGATCTATTTTAGTTTCTTGTTCGGTCAGTTTCATGTTTTTTGGGTTTTTTTATCAGTTGATCAAAAGCAAGGCAACAATGTCACTAAGACGCAAGAGTATAATGGGAGTGAAAGAGAATAAAAGACTTTAGAAGAAGCCGGAAATTCAATTATAAACATGGAACAAGGGATATTCCTATCTATCTCTTTCCTTCTCTCTCCATCTATCTATCTATCTATCTATCTATCTATCTATCTATCTATCTATCTATCTATCTATCTATTTCCTTCTCTATCTCTATCTATCAATCTCTTTATCTATCTATCTATCTATCTATCTATCTATCTATCTATTTCCTTCTCTATCTCTTTCTCTCTCCCTCTTTATCTATCTATCTATCTATCTATCTATCTATCTATCTATCTATATCTATCTGTTACCTTTTCTCTCTCTCTTTTTCTCTCCCTCTTTATCTATATATCTATATATCTATCTATCTATTTATCTATCTCTTTCCTTCTCTCTCTCTTTCTCTCTCCCTCTTTATCTATCTATTTATCTATCTATCTCTTTCCTTCTCTCTCCATCTATCTATCTATCTCTTTCCTTCTCTCTCTCTTTCTCTCTCCCTCTTTATCTATCTATCTATCTATTTCCTTCTCTATCTCTTTCTCTCTCCCTCTTTATCTATCTATCTATCTATCTATCTATCTATCTATCTATCTCTTTCCTTCTCTCTCCATCTATCTATCTCTCTATCTATCTATCTATCTATCTATCTATCTCTTTCCTTCTCTCTTTCTGTTGTGAGACCGTAACATACCTACAACATGGACTCTTCGAGGACTATATAAAATATGCGATATAACACTCTAAGATTATCTGAAAGAAGGAGAGAGAGAGAGAGTATTGTAATACCGTAGTATCAGCCGCGTACGACTACCAATATTGGACACTAGCACATAGGAAGCTCTGCTTACACTTACACTATCTTTGTAACCTTTTTGTTTAATATATCTTTCTTACCTCTAATCGGTGTTCCTTGTTTTCCTTCCGTGGTCCCAACTTTGGGACCACATCACTTTCTCTCCCTCTTTATCTATCTATCTATCGATATATATATATATATATATATATATATATATATTCTCTTTTTAAATCTTTATTCTTTTGTGGTTATTTAAAGTTGAAACGTATTTTGATTTGTAAGAATAGGTCTTTTTTTTAGAGTGAGTATTGCATTGCATTAGCAATATTCTTAGGAATTAATAATTTTCTCAGAATAATCTTCTACTATTTAACCCATAGCTAAGAGAAGAATAAATGGATTCATACATTTTGCAAGTGTTTTTTTGCCGCGAATGTAACGACATCGACTCACTGATTTCGTTTTGCAAACCTTCTTCCATGTTAAAGTGGGATTTATGTAAGAGGCACTGAGTAATATTTAGCGGCTCAAATTGAGGAATCGGAGAATCTAGTTCGAACTCCAGTCGATTTCATTGCATTCACTCACGTGGGAAAGGTATGACTGCATCTTTTTTCTCCCCGACCCAGCTGTGACTAAAATAGCAGGACAGTCTGGATCCTTGGTTGCAACCAGTCTAGGAGAAAGAAACTCAAAATTCAAACCACCTGCCACCTTGTAGGTCCTGCTTCTTTAGGCAAAAGGCTAGAAGAAGTTAACTTAAAAAACAAATTCACCTCTGAGATGAGGGACGAGATAACCTTAACATTCCGATGCAAGCCATTACACTATTCCGCCTTGAATGTCCCCAGAAGATGGAGAGCCGCAATGACTACAGCTGCGCAAAATGCGTCCACAGAATAAGATTATTTGATGGGATTTTAATTTTCTTTGAATAATAAGCAATTTAAGTTAAAAAAAACATCAATAAACGATAAAGATCACAAAAAGCCAGAATAAACAGAAATAACAAGACACATTTAATTTTTTAAATTATTTTTTAAAGATGAATATTCAAATTAAATATTTAAATTAAACCTTAAGAAGTGCTAAGTTAAAAAAAAATATACAAGTAATGCTGTCAAGTATAAATGGCAAATTCACCTTTCTGTGGATTATACACTTATTGAAAGCTTCTGTGGATCATACACTTATTGAAAGCTTCTGTAGGTCTTACACTTATTTAAAGCTTCTGTGGATCATACATTATACACTTATTGAAAGCTTCTGTGGATCATACACTTATTGAAAGCTTCTGTAGGTCTTACACTTATTTAAAGCTTCTGTGGATCATACATTATACACTTATTGAAAGCTTCTGTGGATCATACACTTATTGAAAGCTTCTGTAGGTCTTACACTTATTTAAAGCTTCTGTGGATCATACATTATACACTTATTGAAAGCTTCTGAGGATCTTATACTTATTGAAAAGTTCTGTGGATCTTACACTTATTGAAAGCTTCTGTGGATCATACATTATAGAAAACTTCTGGTGATCATACACTTATTGAAAGCTTCTGTGGATCTTGCACTTATTGAAAGTTTCTGAGGATCTTATACTTGTTGAAAGCTTCTGTGAATCATACACTTAATGAAAGCTTCTGTGAATCATACACTTATTGGAAGCTTCTGCGGATCTTACACTTATTGAAAGCTTCTGTGGATCATACATTATAGAAAGCTTCTGTGGATCTTACACTTACTGAAGCTTCTGTGGATCATACACTTATTGAAAGCTTCTGCGAATCATACACTTATTGGAAGCTTCTGTGGATCTTACACTTTTTGAAAGCTTCTGTGGATCATACACTTATTGGAAGCTTCTGTGGATCTTACACTTTTTGAAAGCTTCTGCGAATCATACACTTATTGGAAGCTTCTGTGGATCTTACACTTATTGAAAGCTTCTGCGAATCATACACTTATTGGAAGCTTCTGTGGATCTTACACTTATTGAAAGCTTCTGCGAATCATACACTTATTGGAAGCTTCTGTGGATCTTACACTTTTTGAAAGCTTCTGTGGATCATACACTTATTGGAAGCTTCGGGATGAGATAGGGTCAATCTATGGCGCCTGAGGTATCCACAAACGAAAAGTTTCACTAGAGTTTGAGTACCTACACTGTAACCTTAACATTCTATCACATTATGTATAATATGAGTGTGCTGATAAATACCTAAATAAAACATCCTTCCAGCCAGTTCATAGGCTAATTCCTGATGCTTGAGATGTCTTTAAAAAATAGAATGGTGGAAGGGGCTTGAGCAATTTTTCAGGTCCCATGTACGCGCGAGGCCTTCACTTTAAACTTCGCGTAGGCATACTGATCAAACCTGAGGTGAAAGACCTATTCTTTGTCTCTGGTCCTATATTCGGAATGAGGTCGAATAAGCAAGAGAGAAATATTTCCAGTTTGTCTTTTTTCCCATTATAGACATATCCTTCATATATAAACACTTTAATGAAATGGAGGGAACAGGCGAACTGAATAAACGAAATAACAGATATACATTGTTCTCAAGCAGATTTTATTTACAACTATGTCATACAAGAATTTTTATATACAAAGATAGGCTTACAGCCATTTTATCAAGTTGAAACACTAGTTCCCATATGATCCCCAAAGTTAAGCAACGTCAACTCTGGTCAATTCCTAGATGGGTGACCACTTCAGAATACCAGGTGCTATAAGCTTAGATGTGCGGTTGGTGAAATAGATGATGGCTCGGAATTCTGAATCAGAGAGCCGAGTTCCAATTCCACTTGGATTCGTATATTCACTTATGAGTAAATGCCATCGGTAAAGATATGAACCTACCTTTTCACCAATATGAGTTAATTGACAACACTTGTATCATTAAATCTTGATCTTCTGAATAAAAAATTGAAATCTGTTTTCGAATAACCTGAAAAGTGTTGATAAACCGTAAAAAATGAATGATTCAATCAGTGTACTAAACATAACAACATCAATTCCTCTTTACAATCAAACATGAACTGTTGTGGTACGATCCACCTAATTTACATAGTGGAGTACCGACGATATAAATATGGGTTGGTACCGGGAGAAGTAAGAAGAGATCCAATCGAGAGACACTGCCCGACTGCGATTAAGTCAACCCATTCTACAGGAACAGTCTTCCCAAGAATATACCAAAACTAACTGTAAATATTGTGTACCTTTTCCTTGTTTCAATACATTTTGTTTACGTACATTTTGTGTTGTATTATTATTATTCCATGCTTATCCAAGCTTCAACATAAACGTAACATTTTTATTTCATATTCAAAAATACGAAATCCTACTTAATATTTGGCGTAAATATTCCTGTTAATGGAGCTGATAGCAAAGATTTGGTATTTCTTGGTCGCATATCAACATTATAAGCATTATTATATCCGCCATTTACCAAATTCTTAATACAACGAACGGATCAGAATCCCTGAAACAAAAGATTCAGTAACACGCAATATTCTGAAATAGATTTTATATAACGCCATGTCATAAAAGATATCGTACAAATATATATGTATATATATATAAATACTTGTCACTAATTTGTCCCACAGAGATATTGTAACATACGAAGAAAACATGCAGTATGGAAAAAAAAGAATCAAAATGGTCTTACTTCCAATATTTCCCAGACTTCATGAATTTAAGCGTTCAACTAGGCTGGCATCACGCTCACACAACTTTCACTGTCGAAACTGTAAAATGTGGCCGTCTCTTCTACTCCAATAGCTTCATGTCTCGCACCTTTTGCCTGTGGAACTCCCTCCCATCTTCCTGTTTCCCTGATAGCTATAATCTCCAACAATTCAAATGTAATGTCAATCGACGTCACCAGATGCCCTGATCTATCCCCTATTCTTCTCTTCATCCTTTCCTCTATCACTCCTATTTGGTCTCGCTCCACCTCTCTGTAATCCATTGGGTGCTAGTGGCTTCCCGTCCTGCCTGGGGTGAAACGCTTAAAAAAGAAACGGCCTGGTCGGTGGTATATTCTACGAACTATGCGAGCTCTTCTTTTCTCCCTCCGCTGTTGGGTTTGGTTGACGACCGACGACTTAGCGTTATATCGTGCGCCTCTAACGTGAGCAGACATGTCTCGCATCTACGTGTGCTAAATAGCAACTGCGGTTTTGTCACCCCCACGAACCCGCGTCACTTTCCGGCCGTCACGTGACCCTCGTGACTTAAAGGGAGCTAATCACCCTTGGCATCCGTACATATGCCTCAGGCTCTCCCCTTAACTTTGCCTTGTGGCACCTTAGTATCATCTTGAAAAAGGAATACCTTTTTTGTCCATGGCAAAATTTAAAGGGTTAATCACTAGCGCTTGGGGTGTCGACAAAAAAGAAAATGCCGACTTCTGGTTCCAGTCCTGTATGGGAATGACTGAAAAACACTTTCCCTTCCCCCAGTTGATAGACAGAAGCAAACAAATGCGTCCCAGTAAATAAAATAGACTGGTACTTGATTTCATATTACTCAGTCCCGATTTGTCTTGTCTTGAAGCCAAAACGCTAGGTTCGCTTATCCAAATTGTCTGCCAACCCCGATTATGTTTGTGAAATTTTGCCATGTTGCTGTTACTTTTTCTTAGTACTGTTAATTTTCCTTGCATATATTGTTTGCTTGCTTTGTATTATTTTTGCCCTAATCTTTTCTTTTATTTCCTTCTTGTTGATTGCAAATTTTGTCATTTTTTTTTGTTGGGAATTTGTGCCATTTATTTACATTTAACCATCGCCACTCACTCTACGCTGAAAATTTATGTTCCTAATCCTATGTCGGCATTGGGCTTCCATTTTCAATTCAACTTTATGAACT